TGAAAAAGAGTGTTATTAAGTTAATATAGTTGATCTATATGTTTGTTCAATGTTCTTGTTGATATATTCTTTTTCAACTATGGAATTCATTTGCTTTAAGAGTCTTATTAAGTTATTATAGATCAACTATGGCAGTTGTACCGCAAACATGATTAGAGAAGATGAAAATGTTTGAAAAAAAGAAAAACATTATTAGAGAAATTGTATGCTCATGATAAACATTGTACAAGTTTGTTTTCATCACGAGATATAGTAAAAGTATTGTTAAACTCATTTTAGTTCAAATTGATGTTCAAAATTCTTAAAAAAAAAAAATCAAAATTCTTATTATTTTTAAATAAATTGTTACTGATTTTCAATGTTTGGCTTGTTTTACAGACAATGCACAGGCTTCAGAAAGGCATTAGTAATAGTTTTTGTATTATGTAACGAAGACCATCTATCTTGGTATCAATCTGAGACATGTTATAAAGCTCATGATTTCCAAAATAAAGCATAGACGAGTTCTTTAACAAGCAAGGTATAAATATGTTTTTAAAATTTTAAAAAGATATTAATTTAAAATTTTACTAACCAATTTACACTTGTAGAAAAGCTATGTGAAACTATTGTAATATAAGTACATAGTATAGTTATATATCGTATTTGTTGACATAGTATAGCTTCCGGTGCTTGAAATTTTAGCCGTGAACAAGTAAAAAAGCATCTCTCGAGCAGATTTCGAGAGTGATATTTGTCTTTACTCATCTATATATAATTGGCCTGTATGCATTTATGTCGACGAGAAACGAAACCAGACGTTGATAGAGGCGTTTTCAAGGATTACAAAAAGAACTTGAGTGTGAAGAATGATCATTGACGGAAACTGAAGTAGTAAGATTTTAGATTTCAAATATGCGTTTTGTTTGTGTGGTTAGACAGACTTGGGATTTGGCGATTTGCATGCAGAGTTAGTGTTATAGGCATGGAATTGAGATCCCTGGAGAATCATTTTTGGAATAATATATTTAACCAAACCGTTAGATTTTTTAACTAAGTAAACTGTTACATGTTCTTTGAATATTGTCTAAAACTTCTTTCAATTGACACACATGCATGATTATATCTCATACACGGGCGCGTCTTTCTCATTCTCATGTGCTCCCTCACCATTCTAACCAATGTATTGAAATAGATTAACATATTCGCGAAATCAAAACACATCACACATTTCTAAAAAGGAAATTGGGTTGTATAACCATAAAAAATATATATATACATATTTCAAAATCTAGTCAAAACCTCCTAGGTGGCAACATTCTAGCCATTGGATTTAAGGGTTTTAGCTAGGTTTTAAAATATAATTCTTTTTTTTGTTATAGAGCTAAATAACCTTTTCTAAAACTTATGCATGTTGTTATTAAATTGATTGAGTATAACTTAATGTATTTTCATTGTATGCGCGGTAACTCACGGGTTTGTTTCCTAGTATATATAACGTAAATGTATCCTCTTTTTTCTTTTTCTAGATTGAGCTAGTTTGAACCAATTTTTATCATAATTTAATTTTTTTACCAGGTTGACCATTTTTGTGACTGTGAAAAATGAGAATTTTTCGAGGTTTAATTCGAACTCGTTTATAGGAGGAGGTTTAATTCGAACTCGTTCCAAGAAATTGTTTGGGTATCTATCGGAGGAGATTAAGAACAGAGGATTGTCCGTAATGGCGATTGTTGAGATTGGGCTTGGAAATGGAATCGCAAGCTTGGTGATTAGTTTCATGGAATTTGTATTTGATT